TCTAATTTAAAAAAAAAAATAATTGGCTGCACTTCATATCAATTTCTTTGACCGCGCAAACATGAGAACGTAACAGGCACCCACTGCCTGCTAACTTCTTAAAGAGTTGAAGCTCGGTTTGATGTGACTTCTTGCCAGCTACATTGTGGCTGTCATTCTGGTTTTCACCATCACATACTTTCAGTGGTTTTATTCCACTGTCTTTACAGGAAATTGGAAAAAAACTGGTTTGCCATTTTCATACTCTTTTCTCCACCTGTTTAGTAAATAGGCACAGTAAGGGTCCTTCAGTCTGCCAAGAGGGCCATGAATGGCTCTGATGCTGTTTCAGGCATTACAGAAGGAAACTTGCAGAATCCCACAGGTAGGAAAGAACATCTGAAGGTCTTGTCCATCTCCCTCCTGAGATCAGGGTCACCTGGAGCAGATTTCTCAGGTACATGATCAGTCAGGGCTTGAATATTCCCAAGGATGGGGACCCCACAGCCTCTTTGTGTAGCCTGTGCTGATGTTTGATTACTCTCACCATCAAAAAACCCCACAAAATAAGCCAAAAAGGCACTCCAATCCAAAAAAAAAGCAGGTTTTTTAAAATTATTTTTTGAAGTGGAATTTCCTGTATTTCAATCCCTCTTGCCTCTTGTCCAGTCACTCAACATCACCAGGAAGAGTCTGGCTCCATGATGTTTGCTTGTTTCCATCAGATATTGAGACACCTTAATGTCACCGCACCCTTCTCTTTTCCAGGGTGAAGAGCCCCAGCTCCCTCAGCCTCTCCTCATACACGGGTTGCTCCCGTCCCTTGACCTCAGTGGATTCACTCCAATATGTCCATGTCTCTCCTCCTTTCTACTTTTTTTCAGTATTGTCTGGAAAGAAATGTTCCAACTCATGTCTTTCTCAGCCAATCTAAACTTTAAATATAAATAAATTGTCTAAAGTGCTGTTGTGGTTGAATTCCAGCTGGCAAATAAGTTCCACAGAGCCACTCCCTCACCATCCTCATCAGGCTGATGGAAATGAAGGGGATGAGTAAAAGTGAGAAAGCTCATAGGTTGAAATAAGAAATAAGTTTTATTATTAAGATGTAATAGTATAATAATAATAGCAATAATAATAATAATAATAAACAACCTATTTCTTCCATACTGAAACCTCAACTTTCATTCCCACCACTCATGCTGCCCACCCCAGTGTCTATAAATTGAGACTGATGGGTGTAGAGGTCTTAAATTTCATTTTGCCTGCATGGTTTTACTTACCAAGTCCAAACTACACAGTCCAAAAAATATGGACCAACTCTTTCTTTGAGATTCTATATCCTGTTACTCTGGTCAGGGCATGATTTGCTTGTACAGGATATACAAAGCAAGAAGTACTTGATTTCATTAAAATACAAATTCATGTCTCTTTTAGTCTGGCTTGGATGCGATTATTCTTTTTTTTTTTTTTTTTTTGTATTTCAGGTGATGACGATAAAGCTGTGATAAAATGTTTTTTCCTTCTTACTCTTTTTCTTTTCTGTGTCTAGTATGTTAGGAAATGCTTGTTCCAATTTGTACGAACTGCCTTCACAGTAAATTGGACAAGTTTCCCTGAGGAGCAGTAGACAAAAGACTTGGGAAGTGCCATGGGGATGGGGAGGGAAATGCTTTTATTGCCAATCAAATTAAAAGCATTTAGATCTGCTCTTAAATTTTCCTGTAAATATATTACTGTGGGGTAAGAATTTGGCTCCAGAGCTGTGTGAATAAAGGATATTTCAATAGCTTCGTAGAATGGGGTGGGAGGTGGCTGCTGCTCAAAAGGTTGGTTAAGTTACAACAAAATATTTCATTTTCAATTCTTTCTATTTTTCCTCCCTTACAAGGAGAAAAAGCTTTAAAATGGAAACACATCCTGAAAATGATAAATCAACATCAAACACTTGGAGCGCTCTAAAAGCCCCCCTTCTCTCCCTCTTTCACACTACTCTGTTGGAGAAAAAATAGAAGCATTCACTGTTTGCCAAAACAACACTTGCCCAGTTGTAATCAAGGCATTTTACAATGGGGTGTAGACTTTCACTCCCTGTTTGTTGTCTGTGGCCTTGGGAAAGTCATGGCAAGAAGTGTTTCCACTTCCTTATCTCTAAAAAGAGAGGGTGGGTCGGGAAAAATCTCTGTACAGAGGCTGTTTTCAAGCTGTTTGGTTGTCCCAAATCCCTTCAGTGGTCTTAAACTGTGGGAGATAAAGAAAATCATTCCTTATCTCTGCCCAAAGACTTTCTTATAACTGTCTTCCATGTGCTCATATTTTCCCAGGTAAGTTCTGCTGGATCTCAGGTTGCATTTTGTGATGAAGGTTGTGTTGGTAGTTCTGAGCTCACCTGAGACTTGGGAGAGCTGAGGTTTGTTCCCAAGTCCATCACAGACTTCCCAACTGAATCTTCAGCTGAATCTTGTAGGCTTTAGTGGTTGTGATTGAGAATTTCCACCAAGACACCGCAGAATCACAGAATGGTTTGGGTGTGAAGGAACATTAAAGATCCTCTTGTTCCAGCCCCCTGCCATGGTCAGGGACACCTTCCACTATCCCAGGGTGCTCCAAGCCCTGTCCAGCCTTGCTTTGGACACTTCCACGGATGGGAGAGCCACAATTTCCCTGGAAAACCTGTTCCAGGGCCTTACCACCCTCTGAATATAGAACTTCTTCCACATATCCAATCTAAACCCACTCTCAGTTCAAAGCCATTATTCTTTGTCCTATCAGTCCACGCCCTACTAAAAAGTCCTTCTTCACATCTCTTGCAGACCATCCTGAGCTACTGGAAGTTGCTCTAAGATTTCCTGGGAGAAAGTGCAATTGTAGGGTGTATTTCCATGGAGCTCATGGTTTTGCAGTTTTGCAGTGCTGACACGATGGATTATTTTGCTGTTGAGTGTCTTGGTTTACAGGTTTGCTCCTTGGTTCCTCTTGTTTGCTCCATTTTCTCTCCTTGAAGCACACTCCAACCCTCACCCTCTCTCTGGCTGCTCAGGCTCTCACAGCTTGGCCTCCGTAAGTTTGGGCTGAAGGCTGTTTCCCTAAAATGAAGAATTTCTGGCCTGGGGGTTCCTGCAGCCTCGGATGCCAATTATGTGTGCACGTGGTACACTGAGGCTGGCTGGGGAAGCTGCACTCTGGATTTTCTCCACTGTTAATGGATTTAGCTCCCAACCATTGCTCTTTCAAGGCAGTTGCACTTTCATCCTCTTTCATGTGTCTGGCCTAATTAAGGGAGGATGGTGAGTGATTTCTTTTGGTCCTGGAGTTCCGCTGTCTGGTGAATCTCAGGTCTCAGCACTGATTTTTTTTTTTTTTTTTTTTTTTTTTTTTTTTTTTTTTTGCTTAGTTTTGAAACTCTGAAAGAAAAAAAGGAGAATGAAGTACAACAGGTGCCTGAGGCCATCAGGCTGTTCCCAGTAGAGTGCAGAACTGGGATTTTCTGGTGCTTTGCTTCCCATGGAGGACAAACCAAGGGAATGTGTCAGTATCAGTGCATCCCAAAAGAGACATTAGCCCATTCCTGAGATATCTATCAATTAGGACATTATGTGGCACTTGTCCATGTGCCACAGAAAGTGGAGGCCATTGCCAGCTGTTTGCCTGACAGAGGGAAGATGGCTGGTCCAGCACATGAGAAATTTGAATATCCAGGCCCAGAGTGAAGCACCACAGCTCACGTCATCCAGCCTAACAGCCCAACATCTTTCTCAGTACAAGAAAGATATGGAGCAGAACCAGAGGAGGCCATGGAAATGATCAGAGAGATGAACCAGCTCTGCTGTGAAGAAAGGCTGTACAGTTGGGGCTGTTCATCCTGGAGAGGAGAAGGCTCTGGAGATTCCTTAATTCCTTAATTAAGGAATTCCTTAATTCCTTAATGGCCTTTCAATACTTAGTATAAGAAAGATAAGGACAGACTTCTTAGCAGCACCTGTAGTGATAGGACAATGGTTTTAAACTAAAAAAAAGAGTAGATATTGAGTAGTTATAATGAAGAATTTTGGTTTATGGTGAGTAAAACACTGGGCCAGAATGCCCCATCACTAGAAATATTTCAGGCCAAGGAGGATAGGCTAGATGACCTTTAAGGGTCCTGCTGACCCAAACCATTCTGATTTTGCCATCACACCAAAAGTGTTGCTACTCTTGCAGGATTGGAACTTATTTTTTGTAGGAGATACACCAGTCTGGGGTGATTTTTTTCATAGCCTTGGTGTAAGAAAGCAACAGCTGGGTTTGGTCCTGTATAATCTCCCAGCTCATGCAGCACCTTTATCTCTTCTCTTCCTTTGCTGCCATCATCTCCATGCCTTTGAGCTGAACTATGTTGATACCAAAGCCCTGGACACTGTTGAAATGCTGGAGGAGGTCTGGGTGAGGCATTTCTGTGGATAAGGAGGAAGAAGGTGTCTTTTTCTGACTGTTGCATTTATTTTATTCTGCTGCTACTACCTCGGACCTTGCAGATTTTTAATTTTTTTTTTTTTTTTTAACCAGCAAAGCAAAATAAATCTGTCTCAAATATTTTTGCTGGAGGCCCAGCAGCTTATAGCAACAAACTGTCTCTTTTGAAAGCTCATCAGGGCTGCAGTGTGATGGATAGACTCCAGCCAGCTGTGTACTGGTAATGTTCCAGAAGACAACATCACCTTTTTTTGATCGAGTGCTTAAGTCTTTACCTTCCAGCTCAGGATCTCAAAGCACTTTGTGAACAGTGAGGAATTAAAAGTTGCCCTTTATCAGTGGAGAAAATGAGACACGGAGGTCAAATGACTTGCTTGCCCTCAAAATCATTTATAGTCCAGAACACCTGGATTTTAATGCTTTTAGTTTTTTTTGCAGGTGGGCATCTTGAAGTTTGGAGATTGCCCTGTGTCTTTTATTTTCCTTCTCAGTACTCTTTTTTGCTTAGGTTACTGGGGTTTACTGACTTTTAACAGGGCTGTGTCTGTCTTTTTTTCTTTTTTGTTTAGGTTTGAAGTGTACTCCAGCATCCATCACCATCCAGAAAATGTCTTATGGATCCATTGATGGGAGTGGATTTGGGAGCAGGAACCCATTTGGAGGCCCTTCGAGACAAGGCTATCAACCTCTGGGTGAAGTATTGATCCCTTGCTGTAATTTATTCCATGTGAGGACTGAAGTTTGACTTGCTCAGGTTCACTGTGGCTGCTGTGTAAATATCACACCTTCACCAGGGGTCATTCCTGACACTGATTTTCAAAGGTGAAACCCAAACTTTTTTCAGTTTGATCTGCGTGATTGAGGCCCGACATCTTACCATGCTCAGAATTTGAGTCTGCAACATGGAAGAGCAGCACTAATGAGGGTTTTGGAGGAATTTTGGGGAACCAGAAGGAGAAATGCAGAATATTCTCTAAAGTGGCTTCTGTCTTTTCTCATCTCTCCATCACCTTCACAAGAAGTGTGTCTCAATGGTTGTTCTAAGGCTGGCAGATGGAGGGAGTAGATGAGAGATGTACAAAATGCAGTGGGCTGTGCTTTCCCAGTGGATAACTTTACTGTGGAAGCTGCTTGAATCTGGGAAACATATTTGGATATGGCAAACAGGACCAAAAACTCACTCAGGAAATGCTGAAACCTTAAACAGTAGCTTGCAAATGGCTGTGGATACTCTCTTTGTGTTGTTTTTTTACGCAGAGGCCAGACCAGCTCTAGGGCTGATCTAGTCTGGCTTTGAGCTAGTCTTTTTATCTGGAGCATATCCTTAATTTCGTTCCTGGATCTGGCTTGCTCTTGTGACATGGCAAAAGGCTCTCTTTTCCTTTTTCATCAGGGAAGAATGTCACCACTCTCTGCACTTGCCTTTGATTTCAGCATTCACTAACACAGCCTGGTTTGGTGTCCATGTTTTGAGGGTTGCAAATGTTCTTTGGGAAACATTTTTTTGTTTTGCAAATAGCAGTTCTCCCTGGATGGAAATATATATATATATAAATAGAAGTTTCTCTTGGGTTTCTCTCTTCTTACAAACGTGCGTTTAATTCTGATTTTTTTTTTTAGATTGAACAGGAAGAAGGTATTGAAGTTGTCTGTTCAGTTGTAAATAGTGATTTTTAAGCTATTCTGCAAGGCAAAATTAAAGGCATAAAAGCGAGGAAGAATGGGATACTTGGGCACAATCAAAGAACCATAAGAAAAGAGAATTGAAATGTGGATTAGACAAACAATGAATCTTAATGCATTGTAGCTTAGATTTTAAAAAAAAAGGAGAATATTTATTGTGCTGTATGAAAGGACCTCTGTTTTTAATGCAAAGTCACAGAGTAACTCAAGATACTTGAAATCTCTAAATATTTGAAGAGATCCCTTACTGTGCCCAGCTTGCCCACAGCTTGGCATCTGGAGCTGTGGTGCTGAAGCCACCCTTAGTGGGTGGCAAAGAGGAGCTGGTGTGGAAAATTCAGTTATTTTGAAAGTGCCACAGTGTGTTGGCTGCCCAGCAAAGCCTGTTGATGCTCTGGGTTATGGTTTAGACTTGAGTGCTGGTTTCTCCTCCAGGCTTGCACACATCCTGTCTGGTGGCATTGCCATGAATACATCTCCAGGGTCCTCCAGCGTGGATTTTCCCAGACAGCCAAAACTGGTTGGTCCCTTAGCTAAGCATCTCTGTGGAAAAGATTGCAAGGGGAGGGACCTGTTTGCATTGGCCAGGGCACCTTGGAGAAGTTTCCTTTCTGTGTGTCTCAGTCAGAGGTGGGTTAATTCAACCTTGAGAAAAGAGGGTTTAGAGAAGACCTTTTTCATCATGTTCCAGCATTTAAAGGGTGCCTACAAATGAGATGAAGACTCTCTTTTCACCTGGCAAAGATGTGGGGTACTGGGTGCAAGTTACTCCTGGGGAGATCATCAGAGACTCAGAGAAGAGAAAAATGTTTTTGCAATGAGAACAGCCAGCATTTAGAATAATCTCCCCAGTGGTGGATTCCTGAATGTTGGACCATTTTAAAGTTCATCTGGATGGAGTGCTGAGCCATCTTATCCAGGCTGTGCTTTTGCCAAGAAAGGTTGGATTAGATGATCCTTGAGGTTCCTTTCCAACTTGGCATTCTGTGATTCTGTTCTATTCTCATCTAAACCCGTGTCCCTTTGCCACTGAAGATGGACACATTGGATGCCTTTTGTCACAGCATCCCCAAATATTGCCATTAATTAAGTGCCAGGAAAGGGTAATGCAACACTAATTATCTGTCTCCTGCTTCTGGACAATGGATGACTGGTTTGCTAAGAAAAATTACCTTTTGTATTAGATCATGGTGTGGCTGGAACAAAGGAGCATGGCCTTCCCACCGGCATTTGTGTCTCTGCTCTCAGCAGGGACAGACCTTGATGGGAATGTTCTGTGCATGCCTTAAACCTCTCCCTCTCTTTGCAGATAATAAATAAATAAATAAAACCAGGTATCCCTGCAGGTAACTGTCCAAGAGCAGTCCAGTGGTAATATTCAATATCCAACAGAAAACCCTGAGATACAGCAGCAATAAAGGTGTTGGGGGTGGAACTGCTTTGTCTGTAATACAGAGAGCAAAGAAAAGAAGGCTCAGGTTTAGTTTGGTTTTGTTTAATGAGGGGTGATAGTGCCATGGGGGTTTCCTCTGTGCTTGTGCATCTGTTTGCCTTGGCTCTGTTTCTTCCGTGCTCGATCCAAATGTGCAGCCAGGATGGGAAAGGTTAATTACTTGAAGGTGATCCCCTTGGCTCTGGGCTGGTGTGATGATGGATGGACTCAGAGCCTGTCCTCAGGCCATGCGGAGGTTAATGTTGCTGATGCCCCTAATTAGAGAGATCCGCTGTCGCCCTGTTCTTTTAAAAGTTTTAAAGTTTTTTTAAAAGCTTTCTATACCTTCTGATGTTTATATTTCTGCTGGAGTTCTCACTCACTGTTCATGTAAATAATGATTGTTTTACATTATTCTTTGTGGGAGGAGAGAATTCATAGATTGTTAGTTTAATCAGTGTAGTTGGAGAGGTGGCAATTTCATCCCCCAATCCACTGTTACTTTTATAATTCTATATATTGTGAGGTCAGGAATAAAACTTGCTCTTTTCCTTCTTTTGCATCTTGGGTGAGTGCATGAGTTATTTTGTGTCATAGTGTGACAATTCACAGACTCCAATTGCAGGGTTTAGGGAGGATCCTGAGGCAGTTTTCAGAAATTTGGTTTGCCCTGGACACCTTGGTGTCAGAAAACTCTAGTTTAGACTCTGGTTTTGATGATGGATATCCAGGATTTCTTGGGGAAAACAGAAACAGGTTGTTTGTTTGTTTGGTTTTTTTTTCATTATTATTACTATTATTATTTTAAATATTGGCAGGTTTTAGGAGGAGAGAGAGAAAAGCACAGCAGAACTCAGATGTTCTGTGGCCTTAAGCAAGGAGCACCCTGAGATGTGCCATAAGCAGGATCACCAGGATTACCTGGAGAAGATCACTTTGAGGGTTTGGTTGTCCCACAGCCACTGAGGGACAGCCAGAAGTGGCAGGTGGAGGCATAAACCATGTGTCTGCTTTGCAGCTGGGAGTTACAACCACCTCCAGCAACATCTGCTTCTCATATCCTCATTCTGATCCCCAAAATCACTGTAAATCCACGTGTTCCCCTGTTTCCTTGTCAGAGCTTCTCTGGGCTTGATCTGGGCATTGGTGTTGCATGGACAAATTAGAAAGCAGGTAGTAGGAAATTATTTTTTTGTTTTGGTTTTGGGTTTTTTGTTTTTTATTTTTGTTTTAAGTTTAAATGTGAGAAATTGAAAAGATTGACTTGAAAAATATTATTTTTTAGGTAATGTGACATGTCTAAGATAATCAGGAGCAAACACTGTACAGAAGTAGGGATTAAACTCTGGATTCTCTACTGTGTGCAACCTGCCCTCTCTACCATGCTCAACCTACCTTCCCAAAACCATCTTTTTGTGGGGAAAATGAACAAAACCTGCTTTACACAAAGAGGCATATAGGTCAGGGAATTTAAATAGCTTGGATTAAAATGCCACAAGACAGGAAATTTTTAACACTGCTTTTATTAACCTTACTGTAACCTGGACGTTAAATGCCAGCTCTGAAAAGGTAAGGTTAATTTCATATTCCAGCAGTGCATTGCTTCCAGGTGAGCTCAAGGGACTGCTGGGTCTGTGCTTAATTTGGCTGTGTCTTCATTTAGACCATTTTCTCCTCAGTTTCTCCTGAAGATTTTGTGTGGGACTCTGGCCAGGGCTGTACTCAAGATATATCACATGTGAGTCTTTCTCCTAGTTGGATAAGGTTGGTTATCTTGTCACTGAACAAAATGAGATTGGTCCCTGCAAGTTGTCCTTGGCAGTGTTCTCTGGATATAAATCACCGAATTATCATTTCAATACTTAGAAATTGTTAAATTATATTTTCTATCTTTTTTTTTTTTTTTTTCCTAGAGCCAGGTCTCTGATTTTCTTTGCTCTCCCATCTCTACCACTTACCTGCCTCTGTCCTGCACCAACCAGCCCTTGGGTGGAAAGTCATGTGCCAGTGCTGTCACTGACCTGTCATTGAATTGTTTAGGTGGGAAAAGCCCTCTGAGATCCTCAAGTCCAGCCACTAACCCAGCACTGCCACTAAACCAAGTCCCCAGGTGCCACATCTACACGTCCTGTAAATCCCTGCAGGGAAGGTGACTCAGCCACTTCCCTGAGCAGCCTGTCCCAGGGCTTGACAACCCTTCCAGTGAAGAATTTTTCCAAAATATCCAATCTGAACCTCTTCCTTACAGATGAACCACCCTTCTGTAATCTCCATTCCTATTTTCCTCTTTTTCTAGCAAATCAGAAAAATGATTTGTCTTTAAAAACAACCCCATGGAGTCCATGGTTGCCTCCAAGTTTGGCAGAGTCACAGAGCTCCTGTGCTCCATGGGAGGGGGATGTTCAGATGATTGTGACCCCTTTGGTGGGATGGGGCTGGCAGAATTTCTGTTTTCTGGGCAAAACTCACTCAAAAGCTTGGGTACAAACCAGCACCATGGCCTGACTGTGGGAAATAGTAAAGGTAAGAAGATTTCTAGAAAGGTCGTCAATAAACAACAAAGTTAAGAGAGTTTCC